AAACTATCGGGGGAGGGGCCTGTCTGTGTGACGTCACACAGACAGGCATCTGAGATCGGCTCGATTTGAGAAAGGGAAAAACATTTAACCAGATTTTTTTTTAAAAACACTGGGTGGATTTTTATCATTATAGGGTGGCTGCATAGGCGGATTAACCATATGGGCAATTGGGCAAGTGCCAAGGGGCACCACGTCTAGGGGGGCACCACGCAAATAAATGTTCTGCGGTAAAACAAGCGATGTATTCTCAAACGTCTATCTAGCCATGGCCTATACATAGGCTACCCTTTCATCAAAACGTACTAAGTTCTCTGAAAGTTTTGTTAAAAGGTTTTTTTTTTTCTCATGCATGAAACACAGGATGCGCGATCTATCGCCAGATTCACACATAGGCTATCCTACTTACATAGGCTACCCTTTCATCAAAACGTACTAAGTTCTCTGAAAGTTTTGTTAAAAGGTTGTTTTTTTTTCTCATGCTTGAAACAGAGGATGCGCGATCTATCGCCAGATTCACACATAGGCTATCCTACTGGGTGAACCCGTGCGCTTTTGTTTCGACAGCCATATATTACTCAAACAGATTCTAGGAGCATGCTGTCGCGCAACTCCCGTCTCATCAACTGAAATGCCTCGCTCATGGATGTGTGAATCCGCTACGGAGCGTCAGCCTTGCACTTTCACGTTGTACTTTGCAGCCATTGGCAATCAAGAAAGGGGCAAAGTGTAAACGAGTGAGTTTGTAAGTTTTATTTTCAGTTCAAATCCTCACAAAACTATATGTAGCATATGTATGCACCGAAGAGTCTTAATCCGCCACTGGGTGGTTGTGTACAAACACTGCCAACACACATTTCAGTTCAAACTACTTGTAAAAGTGCATGTAGCATCCTATGACCCCTTTAAGTATGTTTATGTTAGCTAGCTTTATTAGTAAAGTACGCTCCATTTTTAGACCAAATTCTTTTAATGCTTAATTTTTTTTTTACAATTTTTATTTCTTTGCTCTCCTCTTAAATTTAGGCCATAACTTTATTTACAATACAGTATGACCCTGAGTGCCCAAATGTTTCTATAAAATGGCTACTACGTAATGATTCATAAATAAATAAATGATTCAAGGACACATTTTCATTGTATAGTCCCTGACATAGAAAATATGGATAATGGCCTTGATGGGTGCAGTGATATACACATTAGATAGGTGTCATACAGCAGCCATTGTGTCTTGTAGTTCCGCTGGAATGCTGTATTGACCCCTTCTGCAGTATCTGAAGCATCTGTGTTTTAAGTTTGATGAAGCATAGAAAATATGGATAATGGCCTTGATGGGTGCAGTGATATACACATTAGATAGGTGTCATACAGCAGCCATTGTGTCTTGTAGTTAGTAATGCTGTATTGACCCCTTCTGCAGTATCTGAAGCATCTGTGTTTTAAGTTTGATGAACGTTTCCATCTGCATCGGGGGGGGGAAAAAAAGATTTTGAAGTTGCTTTTCTGAATTCAAGTCTTGTACAGCAAACACTCTGAAGACAGTGATTTAATCTCTATAAATGGCTGGATTTGCTTCGCTTCAGTGATTCTTTGTTTGTCCATGTAGCACTGTCCAAATGTATGCTGTCTCAGTTACTGAGTGAAATCAATTGTCCTAAACAGTGAACAAGCCATTATTAGTACCTCCTATTGTTACCGTGACATGGCCTTGACACTTTCTGTTGTGAATTGTTAAATCAAAAACACACACATGATTTGGTGAGACCCTGTAAGTGGAGCAAAATTGACAGGCACAGATGAAGCTCTCACATCTGCCATTATAAATTCATGTAGTTGTTGTAGTGCTTATTGTTTGATGAACTAGGGGGATGAGTTTTTGAAATGTGGAATTATTCAACTCTCTTGTGACAGCTCCGGGAAGTCTTAATCTATCAGTACTGTACATATTTAACCATATTGTGTTCCTTGGTTTAATTAGGTTGTTTTTGCAGGTCTCTGTTACAGAGTGTCTCATGAATATGTAAATACCGGTGTAAATGTCTGTTCCTAAGCAGCTGTCAGTCATTATTTGTCAGGTTTCATGGGAAACAAAGCCATTATTTGATCTGTCTAAAGTTTGGAGGGGCTTTAGAAAGTAGATGTAACAGAACATTAAATGAAAAAATAAATTATTTCAATTATTTATATCAGTTGAAAGATACCTCCATTCACACCTCTCCGAATATTTTCTTGAATATCTCAAAAGTAATATCTTAATGTTCTGTGTATTTCACTATAGTTTATATATTTTTTGCATGTATGTAGTTAGGACGTTTGTTGTCATTTCTTCAATCAATACTTTTATTTAGCAAAGAATCTAAATGACAGTAAAGACAAAAGATTTCTATTTCAAATAAATAATGTTCTTTGGACCTTTCTGTTCATTAATGAATACTGAAGAAAAAGTGTATTACAAAAATATTAAGCAGCGCAACTGTTTTCAACCTTGATAATAATAAGAAATCATTTTTGAGCACCAAATCAGCGTATTAGAATGATTTCTGAAGGATTATGTGACACTGCTAAAAATAGAGCTTTGCCATTTTAAAATATAATAGTTATTTTAAATTGTAATAATATTTTACAATATTACTGTTTTTGCTGTATTTTTGATTAAATACAGCCTTGTTGATCATAAGAGATTTTAAATGATTTTAAAAAGTGCCTCTTTTGGATCATCTCTACTTTTTCTCCCCAGTAATCACTTTATATGAGCAGTAGGTGACAACTAATTTCCTTAGTGTCAGACACCGAAATGTCCCACAATGTGATATTGCTCTTGAAAATAATCTGTCAGTTGCATTGTAATTGCAAGTACTTTAGAAAACACATACAATGCACTATACATTTCTCAGTAGTTCCTCAGTACTTTCCCAGCAGTCATATAATCATCATGCTGATTTTATGAGTTATTTAGTTGCAAGCAGTCTAATTGCAGTGGCAGGTCCCACTGTATGTCTACTTTCAGTATCCACCCTTCATGTGACATTTCTGTCCTATGAATATAGAACAGTTAAAAGTTCATTAACATTTTTGTGTTCTTAACTGCACTAGAAATGGAAAAATTACATTTACAGTATGCATTCATCACATTATCTTGGCAAATGTGAAATTTCTCAAATATTTTATACTATTTTTTCAGTCTTTGATGTGACAAACATCAGTCATGTTATCAGACAAAAGAAAGATGTTTATCTGCAGTATGTGTCATCCTCAAGAAAAGCAGGTTTTGAAGCAAATGTGCTTTTGACTTTAGGCAGTAGTTTGTGTGTGTGTGTGCGTGTGTGTGTGCATGTGTGTGTGTGTGTGTGTGTGTGTGTGTGTGTGTGTGTGTGTATGTGTGCATGGGGAAGAGTGTCTTCACATTTTTTTAATTTAAGCTCAAGAAAACATCAGCCCTTTTCATAGGCCGGATTTGCCTGTTGTTTGATTTCTTGGTCTGCAATCAAATGCAAAAGAAAGAAAATCTCACCTAACACATTTACAAAATGATTGGAGGTTAAAAGTTAATCTGACTATAACTGAATACAGCCTAGTATAAACAAAGACCTCAGTTTCCCTTCAGGCTGTCCTCAACATCCTTAAAAGATTCTGCCATCTGGTGGCCAAATGAAACAAAGTCTGGGTCTTCAAATGCCTTTGTCATAGCAGAAGCCCTTTGGTTATTTCAGTGAAAATTTCCTCTACTGTACTAAGATATTTTAATAAGCTCTTGTCTGGTTACTAATTCATCCTGTTTTGACAGAGTGAATCGAGTCTATAACCTTAAACGTTCTTTTTGTCTATATGCATTTAGACTCAAGCGGCCAGCCTTTCTGTGTCCAGTGCAAGCCAGAGTACCAGGGTCCCAACTGTGAGCAGTGTAGTGATGGCTTCTACAATGCCGACAGCATCTGCCTTCCCTGTAACTGCAGCGGGAACGGAGACCCCCACATATCCCCTCAGATCTGTCACCCGGACACAGGCCACTGCCTGAGCTGCATCAACAACACTACGGGGCTGCACTGCGAGCGCTGCGCAGAGGGCTTTACAGGGGACGCACTAGCCAGGAACTGCACTCCTACAGGTGAGAGCCTGCAGTAGTAAAACCTCTAGTGATTTTTGGCTGCAGTTGGGTAAATTAGGGCTGTGCCCATAGGCGGAGGGTAAACCAACTCCAGGGTAAAGCTAAAAGCAGCCAAATGTATTAAACATCGTAAACCCGTCTTTTTAGGCAAGGACCAGACATGGGTGTCATGTAGGCTAAAAAAAATGTTTAATGGGACTGAGTTTGTATTTAACGTGATTACAATTTAATAAAAATGTTAGAAATTGATAATTATATAACGTTTTCTTTCCACGGTTATTCAAATAGTGAATAAATTATATATAGAAAGTGACATTATCACTAACACTGATCTATCGCGAGTTTAAGCACTCTCAAAAAAACAAAACTATCGTTATAATCACTGAAACTGTATGCACTGTGAAATGAATCTCTTACTTACATTGTACGTCCATCTGTGCTTTGTTGTTTATGATGAGAGAATTCGCAAGAGTACGGAATTCAGTCAGCGAACGTGCGCACACTTAACAAAACTGATCTGTTTCAACGATGACTCATCTGAATGCCTCTGATTGGCCATTGCATTCCTAAG